AGTACACCATTTTTGGACAATAACTGTTTCAATATCAAATCGTTTATAGAAGTAATTTGTCAGTGTGTTGTTGTCCAAGTTAATCTTGGTTGCATTGAACAGTTAAGCTCTATTTCTAATCGTTAATATATTTTCAATGAGGATGTCTCATTTGTTATGGATGAATGACTTTACAATATTGCTTATTTCAAAATGTGCAACTCCGTCGTTTAGTTGGACAGAATTGACCAGCCAGTCTTAGATTATGAACACCTGTGTAGATGCCCCGAAATTGTCAGTATTTTACAAATTTGATATTACTTATGAACAGTGGAGTTCAGGATGCGCCTTTCGTCCTATTTGAGACTCACCAGCTGGATGTTCCTGCCTCTTAGTGGGTGTTGTTCCCACTAAAACTTGAACCCATGACCAATCGCTTCAAACGTTATCTTGACTCAGTAATCTAGTAAATAATGCTCTGATGTCTGAAACGATTGGTCCCAGGTTCAAGTTTCGGTGGGAACATCACCCAGTAGGAGGATGGTACGTTCAGTTGACGAGTCCCAAATAGGACGAAATGCGCGTCTTGGGTTCCCCTATTAGCCAATATCCATCATTAGTGGTGGAATTTCTTCCAAATAAAAAATTTTATTATCTAAACGTTGGTCACTTTCGTAGTAGATATTTACTGAAAATAAATTTGGTTAATCTTCATTGTTACTTTATCTAACCCAGACAAGTTGATCCGACTACTAATGTCAAGTGTTTAGATAATAAATATATCCTTAATTAGTTTGACTCTAATTAAGCAGGTTAGTTAGTGTAGCAAGAGGGTTCGATAACCTGGAGGTTGCTGGGACCTACGTTGGTCAACTTTCACCAGCAGTCATGTTAAATATTCCAATACACATAAATTGGTATTACATATTTTGTTGAAGATAGAATTCTGAGTCAAGTTTATCACATTAAAGAATATGGTGGTAATGTGAAAAAGGTGACAAAAGTAAAATAAAAAAAGGGGAAAGGTATATCTCAAAATTCATAAGTAAGGTCATTCATTAAGTTTTACCTGACCACGGCGGGGATAAATGCTGTATAAATTTCTTCTGAGTACAGAGCTTCGTGTTGTTTATTCGAATTCCCATAACCTTAGCTATAAGCAGAAGGCGAATCATGACTTCATCGGAATAATTCGGTAGGATTCTGTAAATCACTGTGAACACTTTAGTTTTATCAACTCTGTGACCACTATCAACTAAATGTGACAAAATAGGACTTCTTATAGATTTAACCTGCCATTTTACCATATTCACATTCAAACTTTATTTATTCACTGCCTTCATCCTCCAGTATCACGCAACCTTATTATCCTTTCCCAAGCTTTGACCTACTTTGTCTGAAAATCTGTCTACACTGTCGTGTCATTTTGAACACTCGAATTTCCCCTTATACTCTCACTAATTTTATTATGTTAAAGTACACAATCTGTATCTGTGTTAGCGTTGACATTAAAGAATAAACACGTAGTATTTCCTAATAACTGTCTTTTTTAGCATTACATTCTAATTGATTCACAACTGATACTAATATCTTGCTATATTCCTTCAGAATGCCTTTTTTTTAATTTACCCTTTTTGTTTGCTTGCTCAGCATGACATAATTTCTGGGTCAACTTTTTAAATGCCATTCATTAAAACAGGCATAAGCATGTAAAAATACGCTTGAAAAAAAAATCAATTTTTCAGAGAAGTAACCAGTTTGGACAAAGCAAGCACAATTATAATATTAATAAATGGATGCAGATTTAAATTCAAGTGGCTATTTGAAAGAATAAATAACATAATCTCATGCTTCAGGTATAAAATATTGGATGGTAGCATCAGGAAGTATTGCGAATTAGGGAGTAAAAGGTACCTAGAAAGCCTATCCGGGTTAAGTTCATGGCTCATAACCTGAAAGGCGTATTCCAATTTTCACAAGAAACAGATCATGTCGACTTATCAAACAACCTCAGAGTGCAATACAATGCGACTGCCTTAACCATAAGTACGCTGGTGAGTGAAATAAGTGATATCATCTGTCAAAAAACCGACCTACTACCGTAGCCTGAAACAGAGAAGGGAGGGCTTCAACTCCTTATCATAAAAGATCCCCAGTTCTAATTTAATAACCAACTTTATCGATAGATTGAAGTAGCCTAGGTTAACCCATAGAATCTGCTCTAGCAGATGTCTTAGTAGATTATCTCTAATAGACGCAACTGAATTCAATCAGCAAACGAATAACTTATTACTATGAATGGTTTTATGATATATTCGTCATTTGTAATGATATAAACCATTCATCTCAACTGTTTGACAATCCCAATAACTTATAGGTAATACAAATGAAATGAACAATACCTTAACTATGAGAGCTTTTGTCCTGCCATCTATACGCGTGGACTAATAAGAATACTTTTCAGTACGACTAGAAACTCTTATTCTGCAATCACAGAACGAACCACACCATATTTTTCTGTTATTGGTTTCTTAAATGCTTATAAAGAAGTGAAAATAGGTTAAACAGTTTCATCTCAAGGATGTTGATAAACTACTTTGTTCAAGTGAATTTCATCCAAAAGTTATCAGTAAAAGTCTTGACACTTTGAAAAGGAACGGATACAAGTCAAACAACAGAAATATATCGTATAAACATCCAGACCATAGGCGTTACGAATATCCTGGAAGAAATTGGACGCCAAGTCTGATTTAGTCACAATAAGAGTATATTTTGGTGTAATGGAGAAACACAACTCTCTTTTACTTAAGGATGTTTCAAGCTGTTGGCACTATGCCATTTTTAAACACTTTCCGAAAAGGATATTTAGCAGCTAGTTAGGGAGAAACACTATGGGTTAGAGTTGGATAAAGCATTTTAATCAACCTAGTTACTCCACTGCTAGCCACCACCAGGTAAATTCTAACTGGTGGGATAGTAATATTTAATCAAAGTAACACAGAAAAGAAACAACCAATTGAAATATCGTTACCCATGCAAGCGATTTTCATAAACTAAATTGGATCTCCAAACAGTATCTTCATTAGATTCATGTATTAGTGAAGTGTCTATCCCGATTGTTACAAATCATCCCACGTGATGTCACTGGTTATTTAGCCTTTTCACAAGTTGACCAAACGGTTAGCAGTTTTCAGAGCCTTACCAGAATAAGTTAGTGATCCTTAGTTTGAAAATACTTTCCAATTTTAGCATGAACTAGATCGTGTCAGTGGGTCGGACAAATTCATGATGTCATTCGAAGGGTGAGAATATGATCGATGTATCCTCATCCAGCTCTTTCTGAAACTTAACTGGCTTTTTCGACCTTGCTGTTCTCAACCTCCAGTTACGCGTCGGATGACTACGGAACGTAGGATCTTGGACACAGTATTAGTCGAATTAATTCCCTCATCCTTGTCACAAAAAGATTTCTCCACCTTCTTATGGGCTCCGATGGTCAGTGAGAGACATCAGTATGAGGCACCACCCCTCATTTCCATACACCACCCAGTACCTCCATCAATCTGATCTGAAATCTCCCACCTCCATCATTGAAAACCTTAGGCGGCAAACTGTCAGGTTCTGCTACTTTGCATCGTTTCAGGTTCGATACAGTCGTCTGAAGTTCAGTGACACATTCAGGTTCAGGATGGATGTTAGGCAACTGAAGCGTCGCTGAGGACCAGTTGAAATGTTCTGCAAAATGTTTTGCCCAACGTTCTAGCCACTTGATCTGGAGAGTTATCAGCATCCCATTCTTTTCAGTAATCATTTCACAAACCATTATATTCTTGACAGTATCCTTAGTAGTTATCGCGTGCTACCCAACGTTGATGCCTTCTCTATTTCTCTCGCTCACCATACGTCACTGCTCACGATCGACGCAGACTCTTGTTCAACTGACACTTAAATTGCTTTCGCCCTTTATCGTGGTCAGAACCGCCTGGAATCACTCTTCTCGCTTCAATCAGTTTAGATGACCTTTTGGAAATCCATTGACGTTTGCTAATCTTCGGATGTAGGTCACCCATTATCGTTACTACTTTTTCTAAAGCAGACTTAATTTTACGCCAGGTTTCCTTAGCATGAGCATTGCTGTCACGTTTCAATAAATGCTTAGCTACCTCTCCTAAATATGCACCTGAAATTTTCATCTTCCAGTCGAACACAGAAGGGCTTAACTGCCTTCTTTTCTGAGACCGATAAGGCACAGATGTACACAAGACCATACTAGCACGTGAACGGAATCTAAAGATGTACCCCAGAAAGGGAAGCAATATGATCTATCTGTGTCCATCATTGGTTTGATGTTGGTGAATGCTGCGTGACACAGTGTTTCTCCTTATGCTAAAAGTTAGTGCTAGCCAGAAACAAGTAAATGTCAGAAGAAAAGTGCAACAGATGATCACCATTATCAGTTCGTTGATATAGGATTTCGTTGATACTTCGCAGATGCTGTTCCAACTGCTTCAGCTTTCCTACTTGAGTGTTAAAGTCGTCTGTTATTGTGATTGTATTTGAACGGCTTGCTTTCTGTGTCAAAATTGACAGCTTTTTTTGCAGAATTCATGCTCTTTATCATCTGAGCTGCAGTAGCGGGCTCGTAGGCGTAGATTGTTAGGTGATTTACAAGAAAAGAGTTAAGAAATCGTTGCTATCACTTGGTGTAAACAGTTCAAATACACTTGAATGATGAGTGATTGGATTCTCTGCTAAACAAATTCGTTCAGGAAAGTTTCATGTATACCAAAACAAAACAGCAACTGGTATAACAGTATATCGAACTAACTTTAAAACTGTTGAGCAATACAGTGACAGACGTAATGATAATCATGAACAGGATGGACTAATGTAAATTCATACCGATTTTGAACCCTCTCAGTCTACCTATACATATTTAAAACCGCTCAATTTGTATGTGTGCATCTTTCCAGTATTCTAAGCTCAACTTCAACTTTCCAATAAGGTAAATAAATCCAGGATTATGCATGAAGCAAAGAGAAAATTAAATACATATATTATATGATAAATAAAATGTAGCTGAAAAAGCCTTATGAAAGCAAAAGCAAAAGCCATTGGGTTCTCCAGAAATCAACGACGTGTAGACGTACATACACATATTGAATTGAAAAAAGTCATCATAGCCTGAAGATGATACAGTAACAACTTAAAAATATGCAACTATTAGTATGCCAAGTAAAAACACCAAATCAAATGAAAAATTCTGTATAAACAGAAAACAACTGTGTCAGCACAAAGTGTACACTCATGTTTACACACAAAAGATCAAATCAAGAATGAATTGCACACAAGTATATATTTACGGGATTCAAGTTATTTACATAAGGATAGGGTATTCTCCCAAGGTATTTTTTGTAATAGTAATAAAAATGATACACGGAAGATATCGATGACATCTGATACTGCAGTGGATGCGATCCTCAAAGATTTGTGTATATTCCAAGAGTTCAAAAGAAAGAAGGCAAAAAACGATAACAAGTCATTCATTTTCTTTCCTCGTTTGTAAGCATTCATAAAGTTTGTGTAAAGAAGGTAAATGATATTAATTTTTACACATACATATATACGTCAAGTATAAATTAAGAACTGTTTATGACAGAAGTTTCCATAACTGCCTTCATAAAGTAAAATATTTTCCTTCAAATTTGTTTACTATGCGTTAAAATAGAAAGAAAGAGGGCGCGAGAGAGATAGACAGCGTAAACACACTTGATAAAAGTGTCTATATAAACAAACTCTTCGAAGATCCACTCACTTGTACACAAACATAAACGCCCTCTAAGACACAAGCCAGAGGAAATAAAGTAAGACAACGAGAAGTAAACACAAACATACATATTACACCACAGTTGCACTGTATTTCATTGAAATCAAAATAGAAATTACAGCTGACATTTTTGTTTCTGTCACTAAGGGTAAATAAGAATTATATATATATATATATATATATATATATATATATATATATATATATATATATAAATCTGACACAGTTTGACCAGTATGCACAATGATTTGACTAGAAAATTGAATGTCCCAGCAAGGTTGAAGGTATAGAACAAAAGTATTAAAATTTAAAAAGCCAGAAGGAGAGAAAGAGAGACGGAGTGTTACAGTGAAGATCAATGACGTCTAAGAAACACAAAGCTAAACTTAATGTACACTAGTACTTCTTAATACTGCTTAACAACGGGTTCGACTACACGTAGACATTGTACTGGAAGTAAGATAATGTTTAAAAACCAAACATTGCAATACAAAGCAATGAAATATCTTCATATTTTAATACTGACTACATTTTGTTTATTTCAGTTGGATTCGAAAAATGCAGCAGGCAGTGAATAAAGAAAGCTATAAGCAGAACAGTTAGCAAGTTGGAGGGCAAAAGCATACACAGTTTGGGCTGAAAGACAATAAAACTTTAGAAAAAACATTGTCAAGAAAGTATAATTCACCACTAATGCATCCTAGATAATTGAAACCATGCATCTAGAAGCTGTAAATCAACAACAAAAAGAAGGTTAACAAGTAAAAAGCAACGAAGAGATTTTTTTTTAAAATTGTTCATTTTATCACATGAGGAAAAAGGCTTCATCTCTGTAAAACAATCAAGTATGTACGTAAATTTTCTCTTCTATTTTTACAAATAGATTAATAGAGCATAAAAAGAAATATATTTCTTACCTTGACAACATTATTTGTAAGTGAACACTAAAGGAAACCACAAAGAAGGGATACTCAGAATTATGATAGTTTCTTGTGAGAGTAACCAAGAATTCATTGTTCCACACTATTATTGCTATCACCTTGTATATTGATCAAATCTGAGGAGCAGAAGTTTAAACGAGAATCGACAGCTTTTAACTGACGTTTAATGAAGCTATACAGTTCGAACTTGTCACGCATTGGCTCACGTTCAGCTTTGGTAGGTTTACGCCCTAGAAGAAGAAATGAAATGGTTATCAATTTTTCGAAATAAAACTGTGTATAAACTTAATTTACTTAACTGGATACATTCAATGTTAAATGAATAGCCAGATAGACATAAAAACCATAGATGTACCACCCAACTTTGGAAGTTGTCACTCTTTACATCAATTCACAGACGCAGAAGTTAACATGGGAAGAGTTGAATGGAAATGTCAGACTTACTGGTAGATCGTGTACTACATGACTTTTCGTTTGGTGTGACAGGTGTGGACTACTTTGGCTTCGTCTGCGTAGCACGAATAAGAAGCGCTATAGAAGTGTGTATGCACAAAAACTGGAGCTACCCATTTACAAGTGGATAGGTTCTCCAACAGACAGGGTTACCCAAAGAAGGTTTATAGTGATCGAGGGAAGAACTCAAAGTGCATCAAACTGAGAAATAAAATCACAGACAGGAGGATGAGCAAAAATACCACATGAAAGTCCAACTCTCCATATTACAGTCATTGTGAGAATGTGGGACTGAATTATGAAGCCCATTCATCGAATTCTGAGGGCGACTTCGCCAGAGCAAATTTTCATGGAAGAGTTAATGCTCAATTATTTGACGGAAGTAGAAAGAGTTTTGAATCACCAACTATTAACAACGCTTCACGATGAACCAGACGGTTTAAGCGTTTTGTCACCTGTATACATACTTTTGTTGAGTGAAACACTGGACGCAGTATGCGACTATCTTGACTCATACAAACGGTACAAGCAACACTAGGGATGAGGGCAGATGCATTTCGAAAACAATGATCCCAAGAATAACTTGCAACACTACAAGTGAGACAAAATAGAGGCTTTTACGACGACGGCTATAGGTAGGCGATCTTTTTTCACTTCCTGGGTAAAACCAACCTCGTGAAATGTAACCGAGAAGTTGTCACAAATGCAATGGCTGGAAACGATGGATATATACAGGAGGCGGTGAGTAGAACATTATCAGGCAGGCTGCAACGCAACATAAGCAGATTAAGTTTGCTAGATGAGACAGAAATGAGGTAGGTAGATTTACCCACCAAGACAACCTCTGCGATTATGGCAAAAGTAGGTGTACCATTTCCGCTCACAGTTGGCTCCTAGATAGGGCATGTATTAATAGAAGGCTATACTGGCTTGTGGGGCGGTGCTAAATATGCTTTATCTGTCTATTTCCATTATGCCAATCTTGCTCTCCAAGTTGTATTTGTATTGCAACCCTACTAACCACCTACTCACAACTGTTCGATTAACATTTCTTGAATTCGCTTCTGCCCATCAATACCCTTTCGCATTTGTGACCTTCATTCTGACCGGCTGCCTTTATATCTGTTTTATTTTGGACTATTTTTGATAGTTTGGTTAGTTTACTCGTCTAAGGAGTCAGCTCCTGGTTCTGACTGTACATTATTTGTAGACTCCTTGGAAAGTCCATGCTGACTCTTCCGTGCAATTGATTTGATGACTCTCCCCGCCACAAACCTGCTACAGTTGAAGGTTCTAGTTATTATTATTACTTTCGTTATAATCCCTACTTACCTCATCGCACAGACAATAAACCTCAATATTTTGTTTAGAAGTTCTGCGGGTAACTTTGATTGACGTTTTGCGATTGTCATTTCAGACGTAACACGGTAAGAAACCGTATCGCAAAAGCGGGAGATTATTATGAACAGGTTACAGGACGAAAAGGAATAGGTGTGTCTGAGTAACGGCGATAAATTTTGAGTTTTATTCGTTGTTCAACAGGTATTAGTAATAGTAGTAGTAATATTACGAGACAGTTTTTACGTTGATTATAGTAACCAAGTGAATTACGCCCAAGTACTTGCTTCAAGTACTAGTGATTACATTAAAATAAAGATAGATGTATATCCAACAGACACCTTCTCCACTACCATGTCAAATAATAGCTGGGCCCCATTATACAGTCTAGTTAGACGAAATCTTTTCAGATAATTATCAATATAACTGCTTATGTTTGAAGCTATACTATCGTACACTTCTGAGAGAATGATATCAAGACGCAAAGTATGCGGAGGTCCGGCAAATATATAAAGTTCAGAAAAGATGACTGGTTCACAGACTAACTAACAAAATCAATGTACTAACTCGCACACAAGTGCATCGGCTCAACTTGCCACACTTCACTCTACTACAAAAAGAACAGGTGAACAGAAAAAGAGTGATATCAAAGAACACAATAGTATGTGAAAAAATGAAACAATTTAAAGATAACGGTTAGTGAGAATATTCAAGTTCGAGAAGATGTGACTCATCTCCAGTCATTTCACTAACAATCCTCAACCGCTGATTTCTTTCGTCTCGGTGACCCCAGATCGGCAGTCTACATCCTCCCACACAACTCTGAAAAACACTAAGAGACTTCATCGACTGGTGTCACGTCTTGGTCTGGTCTGGCACTCTGAACTTTCTTACAACCTAACCCAGCTTCCTCAGCATAACACGTCCAGGTAAGCGGTGGATCGGAAATCACAGTACATATCCAAGCCATTTCAGTCGACTAAGATTCACAACCTCATTCACTGACTTCTCTTTCTTCTCTAGAACTCTTTTCCTAACTTCAAAATTGCTCACAAGGTGATTCCACCACGCGTGAGAAATGCTACGGAGACACCTATGATCAAAACCCTGTAACCGCTTCATGTCTTCTGCTTTCAACGGCCGTATTTAACAGCTATATAACGGGACAAATCAGACTGCAGTGCCTCATGTTCATCCTTGGGTAGATAGTTGGAGGTTTCCCCAGTTGGCGCTACAGAGGATACAAGTTGCCAAATGTCAAACGAGCATATGAGCTCCTAGGTGGATGCCTCGATATCAGTTGAATGTTTAGTGTATTCGAGCTGAGATTTCGTCAGCAACCAGCACGATCAAGCTGATACGGCTCCCCAAGTAAATGAAGTGCTCGACATATTCCACCACTTCACTCCCTATCCTTAAAATAGGGGTGCTCGCAGACCAGTCGTGGAGCACCACCTTACAATTAAAAGGTGCCAGACGCATGCCAATCATACTCAGATTTTGATCAACTCATTTACAAGACCATACATTTTATTAGCGTTTTCGCTTAGTAGGCAATATCATCTGCATACTTCAATCCAACCGAATGATTTCCAGGGGAAACGTCAATCACTATTAATTCAGATGTACCTAAGCTTATGCCCATTAGTACATCTACAACGAAGTTAAATCGGAATGGTGACAGAGGGCATCCTTAGTGGATACTACTAGTTGTCATCAATTCTCAAGACAACTCTCCATAAGCCCTTTTGTCATCTCACTTTTTGTTTTTGTGTATCAGGATACTTTCCGGTTCATTGCCATAGTGGTCTTTAGAAATGTGAATGTTGGGGTCGAAGTGCTATTGTGCCAGGTTCTAGATTGCTGTAATCAGACAACACGTTATCATTTATGGCTTTGTGCTTCTCAGCGTGGTGCACTTCCATCAACGTTTGTTATGAAATAAATTTTGATCTACTGTGTGAAAGCGATAAATACTAGTTATTACGTTTCCGAAAAATCGGATTGTATACAGGGAAATATTTTTTCTGAACCTTAAATTATCACAGTATTCATTAATCCTCCCCTGCTTCTTTTTTATCATTCGTGTAAAACGGGATTACCTTTTTATATGCCAGTCAATTCGTAGAATCTGTCAGTCAATGTAATTTACATTTAAATTAGTATTTTGGACAGTTGTATCAAATATTCATGTGTTTATTTGCATCACATGTTCAGTCACGTTAATTAGTTCTACAAGAGGAAATTAGTCCCAGTGGTAAAATTATAATATGCAACATTCTATTTCACACAAGTATTTATACATTTTAAGACATTCTGATATTAGTAGTAAAACTAGAATTCTGTTTTCATTCAGCATATTTTAAAGTTGTACATGGTGCTAGCGTACTTGTCGAAACTAAATAAATTACTTTTTTGGTGACCAGCCTACTGTCGTTAGTGCTGGAAAGTAATTGCATAGAGGTTAACGTCGATTTGAATATAATTAATAGTATGCAACATTACTTACAGTTTGTTCATTTACCACAAGGAAACACATGAAAATGATTTTATTTCATGCAATGCAGACTTCTGCCTGTTTAACTGTATATTTTCTTTTGTTATAATTTACTTGGTTGTGGCTAGCAGGACAATCCAAGACGCGCATTTCGTCCTGTCTGAGATTCGTCAACCGGGTGTACCCGCACCTCAGTGAGTGCGGCTTTTCCCACTGAGACTCGAACCCAGTACCAATCACTTCAAACTTCCAAAGCGTCAACCGCTAAGCCACTGAGGCATGATATTCACCTCTTATACACTGGGTATTAGTTATTACTATTTCTTGATATACTTGTAATTCTCCATTGTTGTGCTGGATCGAATTGACTGACTTCTGTTGGCATATGGGCTCCTACTCGGATACCTCGATATTGCTTGAATATTTATTGTTACAGTTGATTTCATTGTAGCTAGCAGAGGAATCCAAGACGCGCGTTTTGTCTCATTCGGGACTCATCAGCTAACTACTTGGTGTTTGAGGCAATGGGCACGGAGTTCGAGTCTCAGTGGGAACAACATCACTCACTAGGGTGCAGGTACATCCACTTGACGAGTCCTAAATAAGATGGAAGGTGTGTTCTAGATTCCCTAGCTAGCAAAAACCAAGTCAGTCAAAGTAATAAATATCCAAGTGATATCGAGGCAGCCTTATAGGAACCCATAGTGCAACAGTGGTCGTTCAATTCGGCCTAGTATAACAACGGAGAATTACAAGTATATCAACAAATAGTAATATTTTCTTTCACATGTATTACCCAATGGAAATCGCACAATTCATTTAACTGACGTTATAGAAAGACTGTGTTTTATCAGTTAGGCTATTTATTGAAATCTGTTTTCATGACACTCCCACAGAACCTCTTTTTTGTGTTATTCCTAAAGTTAGTTGAGCAAGTAGCATAATCCATAGTTCAATTAGCTTTTCAATAACTATAAAAAGTGATCACATGAATGACTATAACTCACAGGAAACAGACTATAGTAAAACCTGTCTATGGTTGATTGGAAGATGAGAACATCAATTACGAATTTAGGGAAGAGATAGCTGAGCATTTATCTGAACACGAGAGCAGTGCTCATGCTGAGGAAACCTGGCATAATATTAAGTCTGCTTTAGAAACAACGGTAACAATAATGGGTAACCTACATCCGAAGTTTAGCAAACGTCAATGGATTTCCAAAAGGTCATCTAAACTGATTGAAGCGAGAAGAATGATTCCAGGCGGTTCTGACCACGATGAAGAGCGAAAGCAACTTATATGCTAGTTGGCCAAGTCTTCGCGTCGATCGTGAGGAATGGTAGATAACAAAACCGAAAAAGATGGCATCAGCGTCGCCTAACACTCAGCAAGTATTAAGGCTTATTGAGTATACGGAGGAGAAAGAGAAGATGGTTAGTGAAACGACCATTGGAAAGGATAGGATGCTAATAACCTCCAGTTCAGAGAACACAACCCCATCAAAATTATCCTCCTGAGCTACAAATATTTTCCATCACCTCAAAATAGTGTAGTATACGATATAGGTGAAAAGTCTAATTAAGCAGAGAATAGGTTACTCAATTAACTTTATGCATTAGGCATATTATACTTTGCTGATTTTCTGTTGTTGTACACTATTCTCATTACATAATAAATACTCTTTTTCCTTCCTTCCTTCCTTCATTTCCATTTGGGTTCACATTCAATGTCTAGATAAGCTTAATTTTTTATTTCCTGTAAATATAATAATTGATTACTCAGAAATATTACTACATCATGTAACATATATATAACATTCCAATAGATGAGGACAGCTATAACTAAGAGTATTGTACTATGTCAGTACACAGGTTTTATGATACATAAAAATATATATAAAAAATTGATGCACAATAAAAACTATGACTATGTTTTGCATGTAATTCTTACGATGATGAAACGTTTCATAAACTCTGAACTTGTTGGCAGTACTGATATGGTAAAGACAAAATTACAATTGACTAAATTGGAAAAAGAAACAAATATACAATACGGAGATAAGAGGACCATTATGCTGCAATGGAATAAGTTGATTAAAATTTGAAGAATAATAAACACAAGAAGACTATACGAATAAGCAGATGATTGATTAAAAAACAATCTCTAAGAATCAATTTCGGAAAGAATATCTGATATTAGGAGCCTTAAAACATAAGGTGAAAAAGCTTCTAAACCTGCATACATTCTAGGTGGTTCTTTGACAAATATCTCTTTCTGACAAAGTAGACTATCTGCAAAAATCAACGTACTAACTCGCACACAAGTGCATCGGCTCAACTTGCCACACTTCACTCTACTACAAAAAGAACAGGTGAACAGAAAAAGAGTGATATCAAAGAACACAATAGTATGTGAAAAAATGAAACAATTTAAAGATAACGGTTAGTGAGAATATTCAAGTTCGAGAAGATGTGACTCATCTCCAGTCATTTCACTAACAATCCTCAACCGCTGATTTCTTTCGTCTCGGTGACCCCAGATCGGCAGTCTACATCCTCCCACACAACTCTGAAAAACACTAAGAGACTTCATCGACTGGTGTCACGTCTTGGTCTGGTCTGGCACTCTGAACTTTCTTACAACCTAACCCAGCTTCCTCAGCATAACACGTCCAGGTAAGCGGTGGATCGGAAATCACAGTACATATCCAAGCCATTTCAGTCGACTAAGATTCACAACCTCATTCACTGCCTTCTCTTTCTTCTCTAGAACTCTTTTCCTAACCTCAAAATTGCTCACAAGGTGATTCCACCACGCGTGAGAAATGCTACGGAGACACCTATGATCAAAACCCTGTAACCGCTTCATGTCTTCTGCTTTCAACGGCCGTATTTAACAGCTATATAACGGGACAAATCAGACTGCAGTGCTTCATGTTCATCCTTGGGTAGATAGTTGGAGGTTTCCCCAGTTGGCGCTACAGAGGATACAAGTTGCCAAATGTCAAACAAAGCTTTCTGCATCCAAGCTGAGATTTCATCAACAACCACCCCATTCGACCGGCTGATGCGAATCCCGAAGTGAAGTGGTCGACGCATTCCGCTACTTTACTTCCTTGCCCAGAGCTAAGAGTGGTTGCGTGCCGGTTTCGGAGCATCATCTTACACTTTTGATAAGAACTGCTTTAAGGTCGCATGAGGTCTCTTGAACCAATGGAGTTCATACTGATTTACCAATAGTTAATATGCGACTAACTAACCAGTGACAACAATGTTTAGAGTGAGTTCCATTAAGCTGGTTAGTGAAACCCTGTAATGGTTTACCTGAGAACATCAAATTTATTTGAAGAACAAGACTATTTTTATCTAATTTCACGGGTACCAGTTGTGTTGTTAGTATAACCTTTCTTTTATTTTCTAATGAAAAAGTAAAAACTAATGACTTTAAGACAACAAGATGTGTAATAAAATTTCCAAATGACTTTTAAAAGTTATGATGCAAATATATTTTGAAACAATATCAGTTGTCAGCAGCAACCAGTTAATGGAAACCCTTTTAACTTTGAGATATCTGGTTCAAGAATGCGATCGCAACTCGCATTTTATTATGTCTATGTTCAACAATTTTTAGATGCGACTGTAAAGTTTGACGAGAAATTACCGAGAATACGTATCTGCTTAAATCGTTTCCAAATCAAAAGGAGAATGGAAATGCATCATCAGCTTAACAACAGAACACTTGTGAATTCAGGTCGATCAGCTCCTTTGGAGAGCTCTTTTTAAACTCTCTACAAGGTTGGAATAAGTTACTCAAAAGAAGTGAGATCAAGGCATTTAAATATGACTGAAGCACTGGTTATCCAGAAGTTCAAGCCAGTGATATGTCTAAAAAAAAGTACGTTCAGCTTTTGTTTTCGATATGACCACCTCCAAACTCTCACTGTTCTAGATGAGTTTTCTGTTACGTGATTATGTGTATTTTCTTAATCCCCTGTTTACTTTCTGATTTTAAATCCTTGTTTGCATTGCGTAACTCACTTTCGTAATTCAATATGTTTTGACCCCCAGACCGGAAATAATTTGGGAATACCTTTCCTAATTAATAAGCAGCCTAGCAACTAACTTAATCAAAAGAGAATTTTTTTCTACGTTGCAATAGTCATGTTTGTCTTTTCATGTATATACCACTGAAAAAACTCCGTAGTTAGAAATCACTCAGGCTGATCTGTAGATCTCACCAGCCAGACCAGAGTGACCTAAACACGGGACGGCCATTTCACCCACTTGGGTCAAGTTAACCAATGGTATATCTCGACAAATAGGTGTATTCTACCACGTCAACATAACCGCCAAATACACTTCCGTCTGCCACCAAAGTCTGTATACAGCACTAATCCTATCAGAACCATTACAATTTAGTTATCTGTGTAAGCATTAGATACTTTTAAGAAACTACTTATCAAGAAAATGAATTATTCAAAATAAAATATTATGTTATCAACTGAAAGTATACACTATACCTAATAACCGTTGGATATTATTTTCGTAGTCGATCAGTTCAGTTTGAAGAATATGCTTCTTTAACAGAATATTCTTCTTTTCTTTGTACATCTCCAAAGGAGGCAAGGAATAGATCTGTCTATAATACCTGGAAGTATATGACAGGGAAAAAGAAAAAAGGCGAAAAGCTTGTAGCAGAAGGTAGATAATAAAAACCGAATAAGATAAACAACTTACAGTTGATGCGTAATACCCATACAACGGATTATGAGTTAAATTACATCTTAAAAGGATAAGGTATTCATTTACGGTTCCATGACCGATAAAGCTGAGAAAGCTCACATTCTTAGGTTACCCGTCAAACCTGATAGATACTGAGTATTCACATGCAATTAGCAGAAAGCACTCGAGGTATATCGTTATCTTTTGTATACTTCGTAAAATAATTCCACAAGTCATATTTAGTGAGGTGCTATGTAATTCTGACTGCCTAAATTGGTATTATAGTGTTTGATGCACTCTCCGCATATATTACAGTCAACACATTGCACCATAAAATAAAAATGAAACAATTGGATAAAGTTAATCTACACCGAATATCGTTTTGTTGCGTTATACGCCATCGTTAACTGATGGTAATACATTTTAATGCCCCTCTCTATTACTTTTCAAAATCTCTCTTTACATTGTACAAATAAATGAAAATTAAACAAATCTAATAATTATTCTTCCATTGAAAGATATGCCAAACTTAAGGTACTCTAGAAAAAAAATACAAATGAGGTAGTAGCAAACGTATGCCCTATAGTCAAATGGAAAAAATTATCTGTCACACCGTGAAAAGCTGAAATATGGAAAAGCGCATGAGAAATAGAGATACAATTCCTAACAAAATGTTTATAGAGTTTTAAACAAAATCTTTTCCTTCATTCAGAGAGAAACTGCATAAGTGATAACATTTAGGAAAAAATACTGATCTTCTCTTGACCCGTGACACACACTCTTTAACACAATAATATTTGGACAACAGGTAAGGCGGAGTTAACCCTTTTCAGACTAAGATATGGATGTAATTTATGAAGTTACCTTGATAAGAAGTATAGACTAGATGGAGGGTGACGGCCAAGCAAAGGAAGAAGCAAAATATAAAATCCTCCACAATAGTCTATTGTTTCAGGCTACCACATTGCTTAATCATACAAAAATGAACAGAGATTGAAGTAACTAGGAGAGATATTGTGATAACTGAAAATAACTTTTGTTACTTTTGATATGACTAGTTAACACGTCATACCCCTTGTTGACGAATCTTATCTACACTCAACTTTGATTTAGCAAAACTATGAATCAATTATTGGAAAGATGATGAGTACTGGTAACCCACTATCTGCAGTTTTTTTGACAGTTTATAAATATATTTGCTAAGACAATAACAAATAAATCACAAATAGTCAATTAAGTCAGACACTAGAAGTCAAAACACTTGACACATGAGACAAGATCTACAATTATAGGGTGGCCGAATTCTTTGGGTGTGAATAAATGAAGTACAAATAAGTAGACAGATTTTCAGGATTTAGAAGACGAGGGGTGAACACACTTATTTTTTTCATACACCATAAATGATTTTTTTTCTGTCAATTTATCAGATATGCATATCACTCATAATATTCCTTACTGGATACAACTTTGTGTTTATAACCACATCAAGGTAACTCTTCAGTTAAGAGATTTGATTCTCTGATAGATATCTTAATCTCTTCTTTGCTGAAGGAGTAAAAGAATTTAATATGGAAATAACACCATACGATATACTAGATAGATAAATGAAGAAAAACACTTGTGAATTAGAAGTCAAAAATATTTCTTCGTTACTATCGTATTTTAAAGAGATGTCCTCAGAGTTTCTATAACTGATTTCCATATCTGATGAAAACAGATTGCAAACAAATTGAGGGAATTCCGATTTAGTATCCAAGTTGTGTTGCATCACACTAACCAATTGTGCTCTGGGACGTTTCTTATTTTCATATGAATCTTATAGCTTATCGGTGTATACCACTTTAAATGAGAGACATGAGCATATAGAGACTAAATTAACCGTTAATATTTAGGTCGTTTCGAAGCCACAGACGAAAACTAGAGTGTTACGCATGTCGATATCTCTAATACTCTATGCTTACAAATTGTACTGTTGAAATGTCTTTGTTCGCGCTGTTTTTACAGCATGTAGGTTACATTTCATATAACCCACTAGTGCTCTGATTGGCTCATGCTTCCTTTAATGTACCAATTATCTCTTGTCTTCTATTGTCATTATAATTACTATATCTAATGTGGCCTTTTGCAAATGACTTGGGTCGTACCATCTCAACCCTAAACTATCAGTCGTTAAGTGCTATCGTTTGTTTTCACAAATCTGCATTGTAACATAAAGATTAAGGTGGCAGTTGTTTAATTAGGAAGTTTCTGGGAATCTCACATGTTTCAAGGTAGTTTTCAATAAGGGTTGACGTCAGCAAGGCAAAACATGGAAAGCCAATAGTGTTGAGGAGCTGTTGTTTCGTTATGATTTGGGACTCCTCAAAATCGCATTCTCACTATCTCACACGAGATTAAGCTCAAAACTGCCAGGTCTTAGTTACTGGGTTGGAATCCGATGATTCATACTATGGACTTTAAAACTTATTCAGTAACTACTTCAAGGTTCGTCTATTTAGTTGTGGTTTTACAACAATCGGTTGGAATAGCTAACGCTACTTACAACCTGATGTGGTTGGCACGTTTCAAATATATAACCCAGTACTGTAGAGTTGACGACACATAGCAATAAGTCGTACTTCAAAATATAAGATACATATCTAAATCGTGTAAAATTCACCGCAATGATAAAATAAAATATTTTGATAGAAATTTACTAGTAATGAGTTATGGGATACGCTATATGCACACAGAAACACGCATAGACTGTCCACACGGAAAGGAAAGTGAAATAGTGAAAAGTACAAGCTTCTAATTATACACCAGGTCATTCAACTGTAAATTTTCATACTTGTTCTAGTCAGTTTAACTGTTGATTTTTTGAAATTTTAAAGATCGACACACAAAACAAAGTTGAACTTTTGTAAAAAGAAAAACAAATTCAATAAACAGAGACCCAAAAATATTTTTTCGTTAGATACTGTTCACGTCAGTACACGTAGAAAAGGCATTGAATCATTTTAATTTTTTAGGGTGATCGGGTGGGAAAAGGGGAAACGTAAAGTCTTTAAGTATAGCAGGATAATCATCAGTGGACTAATGTAGTATAACATTTTTAGAATACAGATAAACTTTAAGAGATAAGGAAAGGTGTACCTTTTCACCCCCTACTGGCTTACTTCATTCTTTAGTTTATTTCTCTTGTTGAACAATTAGCAGATTTCTAGGTTTTTAATTACTTTCTTTCATTATTGAATGGTAATTGCAAATCATATGTGAAGGAAATGTGTACTATCAGTTAAGAAGCATATGCCATAAACGGCTTGGTGCATAAGTAACAGATACGTCAGTGAACGCAATAACTTCTTAAACATGCCACGTTTAAAAAAACCAATGAAGATTCTTTCAGTGGCAAACATTTCACTTATTCAAGGGTGAACTCATATGTATAGGTGGGCTAAGGGACTATTTTGATCTAATCAGATGGCTTCAACTGCTTCGGCAAGGAAAAACTATAATACGTAAAGCAATTTTATAGTATTAATGGTAATGAATAACAAAATCATCAGCATAATTCAGTGTATCTTTATACTCCCGCAGCATAAACAGCTAAATAATGCGTGAATGTAATTAAATAAACAAAATGCTACCGATTGAAAGGTGAATTAGTGACATCATTTTCATCAAATGATTGCAACTCAGTAGCTATACACACTTTTATTTATTAGAATATAGTACAAATTCTTAGTATGCAATGAACAATTCTGTAAGGAGGTATACGTCGAAATAGATGAAGTTTATGAGAACTGATTGCTAGTTGGTAGTCAATGCAGTGTTTCCGTCTCAAGTTCCGATAGGCTTGCTTCATGATCTACTAAGCTAAGCGATGAATCAACAATGTGATGCATTGTATTTCTTACTTGATCATTACTTTATGAAATCAGTAAACAGTCCTGAACTTAGTATGCAGTGACTGTTGACACAAAAGGTCGGGTTGTCACTCACAGAGTTCAATGTCTCTTACTGATCAGCAGGGCTAAGACCTCACTGGGAACATAAATGTCATTTCCCGAAACCACCAACATACCTCATTGATTACTATCAGCAAGTACAAAACCTAAGTTCAGTGTCATGTGTAACTAGAACTTGGATTTTCTCATGAGAATAGAATTCCCAGACTACTTGGTCATCACAGTTCAACATTTTCATGAACTGTAAATATTCTCACCATACTAAACCCGTGTGAAGAGTAAAAAATAAATGGATAGTATAACTCAACAATCAAGTGGAGGTTCACGCACAAGATAATCGGCCACACCTATTGCCCAAATCTCAATGCATAAAGTGGGTGTTAAAAGTCAACCACAGTTCCATAAAAATTGGGAAACATCACTGGTATTCAAAGGAAGATCAATACTAGGGAATTCTATTTCCACATCACAAATACTAAACAGAAGTGAATGCTCATTAAGTGAAATGCTTGGAGAAACTGAACAGATTATATACATACTAGCGAAATCTCAGTAAACTATGTATGTATGATAAGGATAATCAAAAATTCTTAAATTATTTTGTTGTACTTTAAAGTACTCATATTCACAGTTCAGTAGCTTATTTCTAAATTTTGAGAAAAAGGTTAACAAAAAGACAGATCACTTAGGCAAGAAATTAATTTGTTATTAACATGTTTCGTAAATATGAAACTAAAAAGTACAGTTTAACTACGGAACACCACTGAAACGCTGCTAATCAATTTGATACATCAGCGTTTAAAACTTCCTTTCACCGATCATGGGATGCGAAATAAGGTGAAAAGTATTGTAAAATAGAAGTCAATATCTACCCGAATCCCAGTCGAAAACAAGGATGAGTGAATGCTATTCAAGGTGATGGTTTTCTGCCATACAAAAGAGGCATGAAGAAAAAAGGAGAAAATCTGAAACTTGGTATAATCAAATCAGTTTTTGGTAATGTACAGAAACCTCTAGGGTTATTTATTTTTGTTGTTTCACACAGCCTAGTTGAAAATAAAAGCTACAGATCAACAATATAACCTGCGACACCTAAACCAAAGTTGGCCACTGATTACTGTAAGGAACAAAATTACCCCAAATCATAGAAACAGAAACCAGTGTGTTTCACAATAGTGTTTATTTTGATTCTCAGTGCTTGTGGATCCGATCATGAAAGAATCTATTCAAGACAAACAGAAGAAAATCAACGTAGAAACTCGCACACAAGTGCGTCGGCTCAAGTTGCCAAACTTCACACAGTAGTATACAAAGAAAAGGTGGATGGAAAAAGAGTGATATCAAAGTAGACGAAGTCATGTGGGAGAATAAACAATTTGAAGATAACGGTTAGCGTAAATACTGAAGCTTTAGAAGACGGTAAAGAGTGAATACATCCGCCCCATTATGACCGATCTCCAGTCACATCACCAAGAGTTCTCAGAGACCCCATATAGGGAGCTTACACCTCCTCACACGGCTCAACCTGTTAACAAGACCCAGCATTTTGTCAGCGTCTTCATCAAGCAGGACAATGTTGTCCGCATGCTCTAAGTCAACCAGATGATTTCCAAGGAGTAGGTCAGTCCCTGTGAAGTCAGACGTACTTGAAGTTATGTTCCTTAGCATATCTGTAACGAAATTAAATAGAAACGGTGACAGTTGACATCCAAGGCAAACATAAATAGTTGTTAATTCTGATGGTAACTTCCTTTAAGCCACTACACGGCTGCGTGAGTTCAAGTAGAGAGCTGTGATTATCGATACATACGCGCTGGGGACTCTTACAGTCAGACACTGCCACAACACCTCACAGTCGACAGAGTTAAGTGCCGCCTTCAGGTCAATAAGTATGACAAGTGTTGGTCACCGATGGGTATGCCTGAGTGGCAGAAAGAAGGTGTTTGCGTGGACTGATATCAAATGACTGACTGTCAACAAATGTTCAACTGATATTGTCAAACAGTAAAATTTGCCCGGGAAAACGTGAATACTTTCAGTAAATATACAATTAAAAGTCAACAACAATAAGGTCTTACAGCTGAATCTCACGATCATTTGGTCTCATCAGAGATCTTCTATGACTGGATTTTAATGCGAATTTTTTACTTTCATTGTCTTCGGTCAACATGTTATAATTGTCAGATGATTTTAATAATTTGTTATCCCGTTGTTCACTGCCGCCAGGGAGTTTGCTTTTTTCACATTTGTACACATACTGAGATAGGCTTAAATCAGAATCAGAATCCATATTGTGAATATTATCTTCTAAAAGTGCTTCTGATGTGCGTGTTGGTATGCCTAAGATTTTCATCAAATCATCAGAAACTATCAACGGTAACTGATTATCTGTCCACTTTTCATTATCAACTCCAGTAACCGGATTTTTAATGGGGGTTTTAAAATGTGACAAATCTCTTCCGAATGGAAATTCACTACTAAATCCAGGCACACAACTATGTCGAGTAGAGACAAGGCGCTTAACTTGACGATAACGTTCATATATTGGCTTCATGATTCGTTTGGATTTTGGACTTTTTGGTCGACCATACAGACCTTCAAAGTAAAGGAGGCCCTTTTGAATATCGAATTTCTCTTGCTCAATCTGTAATAAATAGAAGAAGAATGCAGGAACATTAGTAGCTAAATTTTAATTACGGAACAAAGACGACAATTAAGCTACAGGATGCGTAAGTATTTCCAACGAAAAAATGAAAGCAGTTATGGACCGGATAGGTATTGGTGCAACTATTTTCATTTCAACAGAATGACATTCATCATCATGTAGACTACGATTCAAATAAGTGACTCTTTTCTGTGGTGGTTTTTAATGACGCACAATCATTATTTCAGTCATAATCTCTCCTACTACAGAATAGGACAATATGGTTTCTGTTGCAGAAACGTAGCTGATAAGTAACAACAAATAGGAGATTTTGATTACATGTCTGACCGATAGTTGTCTACAATTAGTCAATACCCGAAAATCTGCATTACATTGAGTATTTCACAAAATATTGATTAACAAAGTTTTTCATATCCAACGGGTGCTAAACAAAGTTGATCCAGTCAATATATGGCCATCAAACAATTAGAAATTGTATCGTTAACCCTGATTAGAACCAGATCTACTTTTTTATTTACTCTACAGCTTATCAAAACAGAGGACAAGTCAACGCGCCGAGTTATAACTCGCACATTGTGTATCAAGGTCTATAAAACTACCCAGTTGCCCGATGCGAAATATGTAGAGTGGGTTTGAACGCATTACTTAATGGCCTAAATTACTAAGTCACAGCTCCACACAAACAGTGATTCCATTCTTCTGGCATTCATATAGAGAAATAGATGCAGTATTGTTGTCGCTTGTATTATCCCGTCGTTGAGTGGACCGAATTAGTCGGCCTCTATTGGTATCCGCATAGCAGCCCACATGCCATAAGAGACCGATCAATTCGGTCCACTCAACGATGGGATAATACAAGAAACAACATGAAAACTATATTCGTCGCACAGGAAGTGGCTATCATGACTCAGTAGTCTGGTGGATAACGCTCTGGTGTTTGGAGCGGTCGGTCCTGAGTTCAAGTCTTGGTGGGAACAATATTGCCCACTGGAGGGCAGGTACATCCAGTTGATGAGTCCCGAACATGATGACACCCACGTTCTGGATTCCACTACTAGCCATTATTCATCATTAATAAATAAATGAAGTGTTTTAAACGAGTAGTTCATGTTATTTATTCAGTCAACAAAATACGTGTATCAAATAATCTTTTACTTGACAAAACATGAAATATGGGGTGAAATGGCAAATTAATTTTATATGCTCATCTAATAGAAGAATCTAAACAAGTAAATATAATTTTATCTACTTAAAAAGAGACATACCTGGTCCCAGTTCATTTCACTTAGATGCTCAGGACGACCACAACATCTGCGTTGTTCAGACAGTACAGCAGATAAAAGGTCATAAAATGATTCTAAAGATGTAAGTGTTGAATTTGATTGTTTTAATGTTAAGTTATCATTGCCATCATTATCGCCTACTGAAGTTTTACAAATGTCGTTCAAAACTGATTTGGACGATGTTGAAGAAAACTTTCGTAGGAGAGGACGAAATTTTATTGACGATGTATCATTTAATGAAAAGGATCTCACTAGTTTGACAGCTGATATACATGAATTTGAGTGTAAAGCAATACTTGATTCATTTTCACCAAGACTAGGTTTATTTCGAGTGGAAAATAATGTAGCCTCAGAAGTATCTATATCAGTGATTGGTGATTTCTTTCCAGTAGATAATTTGAAATGAGATGGTGTTTTTATGCTTGATATCCGATTCTGTAATGGAATAGGATAAGGCGATGTGGGGGGAGGGAGGTGAAGGGTAGGAGAACAAAACAAAACACAATAAGTTGTAATATTCGCATGTAAGCAAACTGGAAGCAGCTGAACAAACATTCTTATCGCATAATTGAAATCAGATACAAATAGTAGATAATTCTATTGTGTTTTGTTAAACCATTTGAGGTACTTATTATTATCATTATTGTTAACATGGCTACATACCGTCAGCATGCAAAAATAGCAAGTATTATGCCGTTAATGCTTAACAATTAACATTAGCAGCGTTCAAAAACTGCACTTATTGCTAACCCTACCATCGTTCATATGACGATTTTCGGCATAATATAAATGCTGAAAAGTACAGTTACAAATGATTACATTGTTATACATTATATTTTACTACTAGATATTAAATTAGTTGGCAGTATTTGATATTATACACCAGATGTTTTGATTATAGGTATCTAGGTATCATTGTTCGTGTTTGGCAGAAACGTCGTGCGAGCGATGTTGAGGTCGGGAGAAAGATAATAGGCAAAAAAAAGCAAGTCGAGTGATGAGGTTGTGAACCTTAGTCGACTGAGATGGCTTGGACATGTACTGTGAATCCCGAGCCATCTTCTATCTCGACATCCTATGCTAAGGGAAGTTGGATTAGGTTGAGAGAGGGTTCAGAGTGACCAGACCAAGACGTGGCTCCAGTTGATAAAGTCTCTCAATGTTTTTTCGAGTTGTGTGAGCAGATTTAGACCACCTGGCGTTGGACACACACGACGGGCATTGTTTGTGAGTGCTTGGGTGACACAGGTGTGTTGTTGCTGTTGATAAGTGATTTCGATGAATTGCACATTGTCGTTATAAAAGTGGACACAATACAAAGTGTATATACGGAGCATTTATCTACGAGGTGGATACCGAAGACAAAGCGCATGTGTAGGAGAATCAGGATATCTGAAGGACAATGCGTGAAATGCTGGCACACGTAGAGATTTCAAGTGCGAACTGCAACTGCCTTCTTATCAGAATTGACAATCTGATTCTCAGTCACTTCCGTCTCCACCAACATCTCCTAGAGCACACTCCAGCATCACAGCACATGTAAGTCACACATTCTCTACACTGGTCAACGAATTCTCTGACATCCCATGACCACTTGCAGCATGTCCACCTATTCATATTCACTCACACTGACATTGACACATCTGCAAACACCACTGATCCTGGTCCTCGTGGAATCAGTTGAGTGCAGTGAGCTGAGGAGTATCTGCATACTGGTTTGTCGTCTCTGACTGTTTTTTTGAGTTGTTTGGGCAGATTTAGATTCAAGCGAAGTGTTTATCATTGAAGATAACAGTATTAACAAGTAAGGTTAGAAACAAAACAACTCACGTTATCCAGTTGTTGCAATGACGCATATTTAGGTTTTACGCGAGATGAAGACTGATCTTTCAAGCACAAATCTGGTTCACTGTTTATTGCTGATAGTTTATGAGTTTTATTTGATAAGCAGGAGGTTGGTTCAAGTTCCAGAGAAGTAGACGTGTTGTTAAAAGGTTTCGGATGATTTAAGGTGGTATAAGTGGATGTAGGACCTTTCATTAATGTAACATAAGGATATGTTTTATTTAGCCGATCACCACTTCTACTTGATGTTGGTAATCGATTACGAAGTGAATTTTGTCGTCTAATCTTTCTACTTGTTTGCATTCCGTTTCTTTCAGATGACTGAGTAATTACAAGTAAACAGGAAGATAAGTGGACCGATTATCAACAAAAAAATAGTAAATGAGCAAAAGGGCACAGAATTACCCTATTTACACATGAATGACAAAAAATCTATGGATTTCAATTCAGAATAATGCTAAGAACAATATTCTGCATAACCTAAGAAACATAATTTACTTGGAAAAACTGTGAACTCCATATTTTGACAATGCACCCTTAAGTGAGTGACTCTATACTACAAAATTAACACAATTTGTTGATACTGGTATGCAGGCAGATTCAACTGACGAGATCCAAAACGGACGAAATGTGGGTTCCAATGCTAGCTACTGCCAAGTAAATTATTGACACAATTTGTTCAAAACTGTTGACTTATACTAATGTACCAGTTGAGTATGTCACAGCCCCAAAGTAGCCTGGTAACTACTCACTACGAAGAACAGAGTATTGAAGTAAGCAGGGTGAATAAAAGAAATCAGAATCACTGGAAACCTGCGACTACTGGGCAGCTGTTTCGTCCTATTGTGGGACCCCTGAGCAGTACACGTCCATGACTCCGCCACGCCAGGGATCGGACCCGGGACCTTCAGGTTTCGCGGCAAACGCGTTCACTATTCAGCAACTGGGTCGGAGTTCAGTGATTCACATTCCCTACTTATCTCAATCAATTAACGATAAAGTACGACCTAGATCCAAAGATGTTGCTTAGTAACTGAAATCAATAAGTCATCATAAACCTCCAAACTGATTTATTCTAGTGCTCATTAGTGACCTGCTTTGAGATGAAATTCCAAAAGTTCTAATGAGAAGTCATGACCGGTAGGGCCAGTAAAGTCGCACGTGATGACAGTTACTCAAATATAAAATTGCTTGGATGTCGCACTATATTGAAAACTGACAGAAGTAGGATATGTGAATCACTGAACTCCGATCCAGTGGCTGAGTGATTAACGTGTTCACCGTGAAACCTGAGGGTTCCGGTTTCGACCCCTGGCCTGGTGGGGTTATAGGTGCCCACTGCTCAGGAGTACCATACTAGAACGACAGCTTCTTAGTGCTCCCAGGTTTCCATCTGTTCTCCAACTGACGTCAGCCCATGATAAATATTAACCTGAAAGATGCAGGATAAAGAAACAAAGAAGAAAGTAGTCAAAAATGGTAGGAAGTAGTAAAAGTTGAAGGAAGAATTCAGTGTGACGATTAAGATGAAGATAAAGTGTGGATACATCTGGGCCACTGAGATCGATTCTCAGCGATGTTCAATATACTGTAAATAAAAACGAATAAATGAATTCAGTAAGCTGTCAGACACTGCTATGGTTTTCTGTCATAACAGAGTTCAATTACAATTTCACTTCTTACTGTTAGTCATTATTTATTAGCTTACGACTATCGAAACATACTTTCGAATGTAGATACTTACTCGACACTCGATTATAATATTTTAATCTGTACCATGCCAGTATTATGTTTTAAGAAGTGCAATAGCAGCTTTCATTTGAGTTATTTTCAGTATAAGTGCCGAATCTGAGAATTATAGAAGTTCTATTCTATCTCATAAAAGACCACATAAACTACTTCTCAAAGATGTAATAGCACCTTGATGTGATTATCGACAATACGTTGTATCTGAAACATTATCCAGTAAATAATACAGCTTCATTGTTAGAAATTTAATAAACGAACTGAAATACAAGGCTATTCTTTTTTACATAGCTTTCCTCGCTTTATTAAGGTATCCTAAACAATGCATAAGAGGTTATTTTTGCATTCACAGAAAATAACAGAGTAAGTTCGCTCATAACTCTTGAGTTGCTCAAACAGTTACACCAAAAAAATAAATGAAAAATACATGACACGACGAACAGTAGTCAGCATTTTCATTCCTAGAAACAATTGTTACTATGACAAAATAACAGGACTTACGGAAAGCTTCTGGTGATTCAAAGCAGCTTCTTTGTGTTCAACAGTTGAATCCAAGAAATGTGACAATAAAGGTGGAGTACAAAGTCGGCGATTTTCCGGTTCATAAATCGCTGATTTCAACGGTTTGCTAATTTCCTCAGTAATACTTGACTTTGATCTCAGTTTAGGTAAAGAAGTAGGACCAAGTAATATTGGACTAGCCGGTGCACTTTGATTGTATTTCTTACATTCACGTACACTATTAGTTCGAACAGGTGTGTGGACAGTTGTGTAGTCGAAAGAATGTCTAGTTGATAGAGGAGACCGTTTCTGTTGATCTTTGACTTCACGAGTAGAATAAACAACATGATTATCAGTTTCATTGGGAAGAAAATGCTCAGATCCATGAAGTGGGGTTTTCGATTGGTCCAGTACGTATGATTTGGGTTTAACATAGTCAGGAACAGAATTTCTGTGATCTGTACTTGTGTGACGAGTATCGTTTGGGGAATGAGGTACGCTGTCAGAGTGACAAACAGGATTTGAGACCTACGGACAATAAAAAAGGAAGCCAAATGACAGCTATGGATGGTAGTATGAAAAACTGGGAAACCCTTAACTTAGGTTTTGTGTTTATTCTTACTCATCAGCAATATGTATCTGAAATATCTAGATAACTCTGACTTCTGAATGCGCCACGTTCACGATCAGGATCACAAATGTAATCGGTTAGCTGTTCAGTAAACTACTGAACAGACTGCATACGTAAATTTATTACTACGTCATGATTGATATGACACAGTCGTACTAAATTTTAATTGAAATCTCCAAACAGAAGTAATTCAACCACTGTGCTAAGTGATATGAACACGAAAATACTGCATTTATTAACGAATAGTCAATTATAGCGGTTAGGTGGTAACATACCTAACTAACAATAGGAATAAACTGTGCATATCTGAATCTTTAGAAGATCACAACTCTCCAAAGTTCAAGTAATTTTCAAACACAAGTGAAAAACTTTATGATTGCCCCTAAACACTCAATCAACACCACAGTGTATCTCAACATCGAATGAAAACAACTTGCATTGCTCAGCAGTAACAGCTGAAGAATAACAATGGCTATCAACTGCTAACCGGAACTATCCAAAATAAACATTCAATAACTCCACAAATTTCAACATTAAACTGCATTTGTGGTTTTGCAGCACACATACACACAACATTTGCTGACCGCATCGAAGTAAATGGGATTGGTTTTGAAGCTATGAAATCGTGATCTTTGCTTAAAAACAAAAGTCGTTTAATCACTTGTGGTGCAATTATCCTAATTAGACACACGACATGCAACTAGATACTTATGAATGACTTTTACAATGTCTACAGAGTGTTTATTAGTATTCATTTACATACATCATAAAAAGGAAACAAATAACCTCTAAGTCTAGTGGACAGTTTGAAACTGATTATTCACATAATCCATTCTAATCAAGACTCTTATTTCATATATGCGTATGTATCAATCTACACGGTTATGAATTTGTGACCGAAGGAATATTTTCCGAGCAATAAAAACCGAGATTATGCTCGAAGTTGTGTTTGGAAATCTGGGTTTAATAAGATACTAAAAATCCACTACTTCTTCACTAAGTGTATTATTTCTGTTTGACATGTGCATAAGGGTAAGTATATAATGAATTTAAGTATAATAATATGACTTTCAGGAATTCACCTTTGCATCTGAAATACAGAGGTTTTTTTCTATTGTTGGAATCAGGAGAAAATTGGGTACTGCACTCAAATTTCAATCAAGTCACTGCAATGAAATTATCTCAGCCAATGTATGTCAAAATGGCACACAGATGTCGCCCAAAATCATATTAGACACGCAGGATTGAAGAAGAGCACTCGACCTACAAACGCGCAATTTATAGGCATGTCTGAGCCGCAGTTATTACAAAGTGGTGCGCAACTGTAAAACAAATCTGTTGAACGAAAGGCAAGGTACTTTGTTTCGAACAACGAAGACTTATATTTCTAACATATAGCAGAATCATTCAATTCAGTAAAGCTCAAGTTAGACACAGTTCAGTGATAGCCTTGATTTACTACACTAAACTGAGAATAACTAATTTGAAGCACTTCGGACTGACTTTCTACGTGTTGAATTTTCACTTATCAAGGCTCATCATATCGAAATCGGAAGCTATTTAGAGAAAACAACAGAATGATGATAAGATCAGCCTATGAATTGACTGAATAGTGTTACCGATTTCTTTACATATACTATTCAGTCCGGCAAATAATGAAGATATACTAAAACATCAGAAGCTACTTGGCATATATTGAAATTTCCTTGATGTTATAACTTCAAGAAAGGCAAGCTATACACGCCACACAGGGAGTGGTTACCATGACTCAGTGGTCTGGTGGCGTTTGAACCGACCGGCCCTAGGTTCGAGTCTTAGCGGGAATGACATTACTCACCAGGAGGCAGGTACATCCAGCTGACGAATCCCAAGTAGGACAGAACGCGCATACTGGATTCCACTGCTAGCCACCATCCACCATTAATATCAGTGCTGAAATAGACTGGGTAACGCGTAGAGTTTTACGAAGGAATGGTGATTTAGTTGATATGGTTGTGAACCTTCATCGACTAGGATGGCTGGGACATGTGTTACGTATGCCTAGCCACCGTCTGCCTCATCGCACAATATTGGCTAAGGTAGGTTCAAGTTAGAAAAAGGCTCAGGGCTGCCGGACTAAAACATTGTATCATTGTGTGAAGTCCTTGATTGTTCTTCTGAACCATGTAGGGCGACGCATACTATCCGGTTGGGGTCCGCAATGCAAGAGAAACCAGAGGTTGGAAACTCTAGGTGATATGGCTCAGAACTGATGTCAGCGGCGCAGATGTATACACACATTATGCCCAGTTTAACCGCTATACTTAATCTCATCATTTTCTCATTCCTCCCCCCTCTCTGTTACTACTTATTACCTCTTTCGATCAATGTCTCTTTCTTCATCTTCCATTTTACTGTCTTATTACTTGATTTGCTGATATGAAGTGTGGCTACTTGGACCCTTATGTAGTAATCCCTGGTCTTATTTTGATGATGATGATGATGATGATGATGATGATGATGATGATGATGATGATGATGATGATGATGGTGATTATGATGAAATAGACTGAAATACGCAACGATAGTATCAACAGCTGACATCTCAATAGCCTAACTACTCTATACCAGAATTTTGAGGCTATAATATAAACTCTTGGTAATTATGCATCTTTATTATCCTGAATAAAAAAATAAATCAGACCATTTTTCAGACTTAATTGTCAATGGTCCAGTGTACAATTTATACTAAGCATCCATCTGGACAAAGAGATGCAGCGCGAACTTGAAGTAATAGAGCAGTGAATTTCGCTAGTGTGCAAGATAACAGAAAATAATCTCCTCATAAAATATACACATGGCTTTGCCTACCTAACTCTCACAGTAACTAAGCACAGTAACAGCGGTCACCAGTGATGTCTACAAGCGAAAAACAAGTTATTCCATTAGCTTCAGACTTGGAATAATAATTGTTGTACAACGATTAGTGTCAGTAAAAGGAAGAAACCAGTATGGTTGGTTAATTAAGAGCGACAAAGGGTACTTAGTCTACTCAAATCAAATTAATTATCCTAGAAAACTTAAGGAAACTGTCAAGAACTGGGAAACAATAGTTGAAAGGTCGGTGCTCTAAATAAAAGGTCTCTTATAATCAACAGTTCTCGGGTTTTACTTGATTTACTAGTACTGCAGACTATGACCAGTGATCGATAATCGTTAAGAATCTTTGAAAGGATTAAAGACTGAATATAATACGCGACATCAGAACCAGGACAAATGACTAAAAACGATAAAACACATATAGCTGTAAGAAAAATTGGTCAGGACCATATAAATTCATGGTAAACTCCATCCAACTATTTTTTGTGGCATGTTGACCAATTACCTCTAACTGAAACCCAAAAGTAGATGTTGAGAGATGTGACATCTATACTTGATCCTTTCTTTTCAATCAATAATACTGACGTAAAATATATTTTTATGTGCAAAATATTCTAAAGTCTGTAATAAAGATAGTGTTCTTTTCTAGAATCCTTTTGATAGACACTGATTCTAGAATGACACAAGAGACCTGGAGTGAAAAATTTCGAAAAGGAGTGAAGTTGAAGTGACTTGTTTAGAAGATAAAAATCAGTACACTAACCTGCTGTTTGAAGAAGGAAAACATGTGAGCATCCAAACAGTGATCAATAGCTTGGGTCAAACTAGTCTGCGAATTTCCCGGAGATGGCTGAGCATTAGTAAACGGCTTGATTAAATCCCTGTCATTTTCTGATATTTCAAGAATCAAGTGATCTGTGTCTATTGAAGGAGTAGGTAAATAAATCAAATGAGGAAGGTCATCCTCCCTTTCCATGCTATTACAATTTTGCGTAACATTAGGTTGTAAGATAACATCAACGCTTGAAGGACAATCACAACTATTCATATGGCACTCGAGAGAATTCGGTGTAATGGATTCCGGTATAGGAGACTGCAGACGAAATTGATTCAGAGTTTTATCCTTTATTGAGATAGAAGTATTCATAGAGTCGAGTAAAGTTTCTGTAGTTTTCTGAACAGACGGCATAGAATTCCACGTATTGATTGGGTGTACACCAGGTTCATTGCTTGTGCACTTTTGCTGGTTAGAAATTCTTCTTAGTTCAGTAGAATTATCAGTATCATAAGTGGAATGAACTGATTTACCAAATTTACTGCTTTCAGACAACCTTCTGCTTGGCAATCCCGAGACAGCATCATAAGAATACAAACTTTTCTCAAATATTTTTGAAATATAATCAGATTTACTGTTATAGCTTGATATCCGACATGAAGTATTAAAACAACTATCAGACTGCGGTTGGAAGTGAAATTCCTCTGGAGAACTACATGTAGCAATGGATGTGATAATATTTGTAATATCTAGAGTTCGTTGGTCAGGAGTCCTGTGTGGAAAAATCGTTAAAATCACAAGGATCGATTAGCATTATTATAGTAACATGTAGTTAGCATAATAGCAACTAAAATTCCAGTTTGCTGAATTAATAATACGAGTTATAGCATTCAGATAAGCATTTCAAGAAATACCGACCCACCTATTGAAAAATACCTCTGCATCTGAATTTGAACTTTCTTCAACATCCGCCGTTTCATTGTAATACGGTGAGTGGTTTGGACTGGCACAAGTTGGAGTGTTAAAACTCTCAAAAGTAACTGGGCTCGATATCGATGAACTCGGTGGACTGACAGGAAATTCATTGTCTTGATTGGCGGGAACAGATTGGCAGAATGGAGGACTGATATGGAAAATCTTCTTATCTTCAAGTGCAATATTATATAATGAATCAGGTTTAACACGACAAGTATTCGTTTGAAGATCTTCTGGTTCACTAGAAGAACAGTCACGGGAAACCCATATTTGATTATCAAGTTTTGGTTTGTAAGATTCAGTTGGATTTTGAGAAGTTAAGGGTAATTTTTCTAAAACACCTAATACTTTATTTCCCATTGAGCTTTCAACAGGTGTTGTTCCAGTAATGCGACCAAAACCCGGAAATGCATCACACGATGATTGAACCCGATCTTCAAGGTTGGGCAAAGCTGAACTGGATACAATTTCAGGTAATTTAAACAGGCGATCAAGTACAAAAAAGTCACTTTTGGGATGATGAACAAATATCGAGTCAGGGTGTCGGATGAGTGAAGTCATAACATAATTTGTCAAGCCCTGGTTTTTCAGAACCTTGCAAAATGACAAAGAGAAGGTTAAAACAATATATCAAATCATTTACAAATGTAGAATAGTAACTGCTGATTATCCTTACGATAGAGTGGCTTTTAAAAATGAAACTAGGAATTCGAAAAATACTGCCAAATTTAGCAGAACTAACCTATCAAGATTATGCGTTAACGGTACATGGTATCTCAATACACGTAAGCCAGTTGATTTGCGTCTGTAGCATTGAAAGGAATAAAGTATTCATGAAGGCGGCTTAGAAAGGGAAGCTTCCGACTAACTGAATTAATGAGGCTGCGTTTACATTTTGTACTTTACTAGACAGGCATACAGACAAAATCATCGTACAACCTCGCACACAAATGCATCGGTTTAAGTCGCCAAACTTCACAGTAGTATACAAAGAAAAAGTGGATACAAAAGAGTGATGTCAGAGCAGACAAATCAGAGAATAAACAATCTGAAGATAACGGTTAGTGAGAATAGTCAAGCCTCAGATGTTAAGGAATGTATATGTCTGCGTCATTGTGATCGGTTTTCAGCTGTGCCAACTAGAGTCCTCAACTATTGATTCCTTTCGTCTCGGCGACCCCAGACTGGCAGTCTACATCTCCCTACACAACTCAGAAAACAATAACAGACTTTATCGACTGGCGCCAGATCTTGGTATGACGACCCCGAACTCCTTTTCAGCCTAATCCAACTTTCACTAGCATGGCATGTTAAGGTAGGTTGTGGCTCGGAATGCGCAGCACATGTCCAAGCCATTTCAGTCAACTAAGGTTCACAACATGATCAATCGACTTCCCTTCCTTGCTTAATACCCTTCGCCTGACTTCAACATTGCTCACACAATGATTCCACTATATACAAGAAATGCTACAGAGAAACCTATGATCAAAACCCTGAAACCGCTTCTTGTCATCTACTTTTAGCAGCCATGCCTCAGACGTATGACAGGACAAAACGGACTGCAGTGCAGTACACTTGTCCTTCAATAGGTGATCGGATATCTTCCCAGTGGGCGCTACAGATGATGCAAGTTGGTAAATACGAAACGGGTCTTCGGTATGCGAAAGGTTTCGCTAGTAACCAACTCGTTCGAGCTGATGCAACTCACCAAGTAGCTTAAGTGGTCAGTGCAATTCACTTTAGTCCCTATCCACAAACTAGAAGTGGTTGCACACTAGTCCTGGAGCATCAGCTTACATTTCAGAGGCACAAAACGCGTGCCAAATATATTTAGGTTTCTGCTCAATCTGTTCGCAAGACCCTGCACCTTATCAGTGTCTTCACCTAGCAGGACAATAACAAATGCATACTCTAAGTTAACCAAATGACTTTCAGGGAGTAGATCAATCCCTGTGAAGTCAGAAGCACCTAAGTTTATGTCAATTAGTTGATCCATGAGGAAGTTAAACAGGAGCGATGATAGCGGACATCCCTAGAAGACCCCACTCCCCATGAGCCCTGATACGGCTGCATTAGTTCGAGTAGAAAGCTTCGATCAGCATTACACACTTGCTCGGTAGTCCTTTCCCATGCATATACTGTCACAACACTTCACAGTAGACAGAGTCAAATGCCACCTTCAGGTCAAGAAATATGCCAAGTGTCGGCCGCTGGGGATGGGGGTAAAAATTTGATCGAAGTACCCTTTTCCAGGTCTGAAACCTGCCTATTTTCCTCGAATTTGCTATTTTTGAGCTCAAGTTAGGCGTCGGATGACTATAAATCCTAGGATCTTAGACACGATATCAGTCAAATTATCTGTCTGTCTTACAGCCGACATCTCTCCGTGTACTGAAACAGACTGTAGTTATATCAGTGAGTATACTTATCTCCATGGCTTTCTAATGACCAGTTAGCTGTAGTCGCTTCAAACGCCAATAAGCCCGAGCACAGGTGAATTTTATAACTTACAAAAACGAAAACGATGATTGCTTTTACTTGAAACCAGCAAAATAGTAGCACAGAATTAGAAAGATCGCGTCCATATATCATTTAAAATGTAAGCTTACCTGTACATCTAAACTGCATCGAAATACGCAAGGACCAAAAATTATTCCTAGGCTATTATGTGACATTTTATTGACAGGTTCGTTTTCAGCTATCTTATTCAAAAATCTGCACAAGTACTTTAAGAGTTCATAGTTTTCATGTACCAATGTACATAAAACAGTTTGTAATTTAAATATGTACATATTTTCATCACTCGCATATTCTTTTGCAACCTTAAGAAACAGAAAGACAAAAATCGAATACAATGGAATTAAATAAGATATACATAAAATGTCCCCACATTTGATTAGATTTTATCTCAAACCTGCAATGACAATTACTGTCCTATCAACAAAAGTTTAGTGACTGGGAAAATGTTTGTACATAGTGGATTCAAGATCTTAGTTTTAGTTTACATTTATCCATCTAGCCACCATTTTGAAGCCCTAATCTCAAGCAATCACAACACTATGGTTTAGTATTAGACATGAAGGCCACAGAAGGCTTAAGAATTATGAAGTCAGTTGGAATAAAATGAGAATTATGAATAATTTGGAGCTTGGAAACGAAAAATACTTGCCCCAAACAAGCTAACAAGAATGCTTGATCACGAAGTTCATAGCAATATCATATTTACAGTTTTGAAGTAAGTGAGAGGATATTTGAATACATCATCTGAAGTCAATCATAAGGGAATACATCAAAAATATACGAAGTCAAGTCCTTCATTGGCGCCCTCCATGTTCACGTTTACCTCCGTTTCTCAAGTTCAGCGGGAAATGTATCCACTATGTGAAGGTAGTGAATGGGACACAATTCGTGACAAAGGACGTATGACGCATGCCTGGATGGTGAAAAAGAAATGTACTGAGTTTTGATTACGTTATGGGACTTAAGAGTTAACATTTTTGTCAGTAGCAGCGAATGTATTTATAAAAGTAAAGTTTGGGCACCCCGATTTAGTGATTTCTGAAGAAAATATTGATGTGTAATTTATAACTTCATTATTCTTATAGTCACAGCGTAGCTCTTGAGTTTGGTGGGTGGTGAGTTTTTAACTTTTTACCTATTTACCTATAACAAACTGAATTAGTTACATCCATGTTTTTGCACCAATCCCAACGATTCATGGAGTCAGTAGCCTAGTGGATAACGCTCTGGTGTTCGGAGCAATCGGTACTGGGTACCAGTCTTAGTAAGAACATCATCATTCAGTGGGATCCAGGTACACCTCGCTGAAGAGCTCCAAATAGAACGAAATGCGCATCCTGGGTTCGACTGCTAGCCACCGAGCAAATAAATACAGTGTAGTAGTTCACTTTTCGTTTAGATGTCTTGATATAGACCATATAAGTTGAAATTCAATGATTCTCCCTAGTCTAAGTCCAGAAAATAGATGTATGCATATGTCCATTTTTACCCACCTATTTCCTGCCCAGTTCCACAATTTTTGCTGTTCTTCTTTCATTATACTCCAGAAGTTTGAAAAACCAAAATTAGCTTGCATTGTATAAGGATTCTACATCGCCCACTTTACCGAATAATAGACATGCTCTTCCAAATATGCTTTCCTTCGAGACCATTTAGAACCAGAAATTACACCGTATCAAGCTATCCTCTGACTTGAAACTTACATGAATTATAGTTCTCAAGTAACCTAAATGGTGACTCATGAAAGGATGAGTGTGTTCCTGGTAGTGAGGTGTATGTAAAAGAAATTGTTAAGAGAAAATAAACGGACTCATCTTCGCTGTAAGTTATCGAGGTTACTCGTTTGCATGAATGAATCGCACATACCACCTAAACCTCAAATTGCTTGGTTCTCCGAATTATGCCGGTTAATCTAATACGGAATTAAACTCCACTAGAGTGACCTAATATGGCAGAAGGTAATTCAGGCTTACGTATATCTATAAGATGTCGCTGGCTGACTTCTGGTCTCACTCTTGATTAATGGTACCTCCTAAGTTGTATAACACCTATTCATCATATCATTTTTAGCTTCATTCACTCGATACAAGCAAGTTTTATTCGATTGAATGATGCCATTTATGATCCGATGTGATACGTCAGCTTTATTGATCATTGATCACTTTTAAGGATAGTTACGAATCGAGCGTAGTCAGTAAGTTGATGATTCCACTCTCGTCAACACATCAATCAATGACCTCAGGTCATACCGCATCCTTTACCATAAAATAATCACTCATCATTCTACTACACCAGTACACAACCAAACACTACTACTCGTACACCACGTTTTAATCTTGATGTGGCTTGTAGAAGCTGGTTTGTCAGTCATGAGAAATCATAATAATTTTTGATGTTTAAACATGATGAAGCCGGATCTAGAAAAGTTTTTTTTGAATGACTCCAAGTAAGGAGTCTTGCGTGCAAACGTTGAGTTCTGCAGAACTATATTTTCAGATCCCAGATTAGCTTCGGCAACAGATAGCAAATACGTAACTTGTTCTACAGAATAAGAAGTCCCATAATGAATCGTGAAGTATTTATGTGATAATTATGGCTAATTTCTCAATTCATCTCGAAAAACCTTTGTTACCATATACAAACCTAGTGGAAATTTACGTCGGAAGTTATCAACAGGACCAAAGTTTATCACAACAATTGACTTTTAACACCACCATATTCCAAAAACTATTACTATCCAAAAAAAATTAACGAATAAGTGCCAATATTGAATCTTGGATTGGGACTAAAGGAAAACCACTCGGAAATTCGACACGGACTAAAAAACCACAATAACACTGCTGTATCCTTCTTTCTCTACATAATCTTTAATTAGTATGTATTTCACATACTTCATAACCTCGCCTGGTTAACTAGTTCGCTAGTTACTAGCCCGTCCTAAGCCCTGATAAAGAGGGAAGGTTGGGTATAGGACTAGCAACCCTACCCCGGTCAATGTGTCTTCTCTTGATGAAGGTGAAAGTAAGCGTGGGGATATGGAATATCCGCATAATGTTTGAAGCTGGCTGACTAGGCTACCCAGATTGCAAAAGAGATGAGGAGGTATGGCATGGAAGTGCTTGGAATCTGCGAAAGCAGATGGAATGGAAGTGGACTCTTCAAACTGTCAACTGGAGAGTCAATAATCTACTCCGACATTGCCATCCAGATGACAACCACGAGAACATGGAGGGAGTGGCTATTATGATATCCTCAAGAACATCGAAGGCTCTCATGCAGTGGGAACCAGTCTTCTCCAGGATCATGACAGCAAGATTCAACTCAAAAGGAAGGAAAGTCACAATCATACAATGCTACGCACCTACAAATAATGCAGAGCAAGAGAAAAAGGAGGAATTCTACACACAACTGCAATCAGTACTGGACAAGACTCCAGTTGGTGACATCGAAATTCTAATGGGTGGGGCACATGAATACCAAACTGGAAGCGGACAACAATGGAAGAGAACCAATCATGGGTCGAGAAGCAGTCGGTGAAATGAATAAGAATGGAGAACTGTTTGCAGATTTCTGAGCATTCAACGATTTGGTGATTGGAGGCAGTGTGTACAAATACAAGGATGTTCACAAAGCAAAATGGACCTCACCAGATGGACACACTAAAAGTCAGATTGACTTCATCTCAATCTGAAGAAAGTGGAGACGCAGCCTACTGGACACAAGATCAAGAAGGGGAACAGATGTAGATTCACACCACTCACCATCTAGTGCAAAGAACCTTACTTCCAAATCAAGTTGAAGGCCTTGAAAGAAGCTGGTGATAGACCACAGTTCAAGCTCAACACCCAGAAACTGAAGGGCAAAACTACAAAGGACATCTTCACGTCAGCCAATCATCAAGATAAAATGGGAGACGTCGAGCAACATCCCTGAAGAAACCTGCGTGGAAGAACACTGTAACTCTTTTAAAACTACGTGGAAAGAAACCTGCATAACCGTATTAGGAAGGAAGAAGAAAGAAGATAAGGAATGGAATGGATCTCGACGGACACATGGAAGCTGATACAGGAGAGGATGGTGAAGCAGAAGATAAATCAGCGACAAGGATGCACAACGAGAAGAGGAACTGAGTACAACGTATAAAACACTACACTGGAAAAAGGAGTGAAGAAGAGTGCGCGCAAAGACAAAAGACACTTCTACGACACACTTGCAAGTGAAGCAGAACAGGCTGCTGGTAGGAGAGACCTGACAACACTATATCAACTAACCAGGTTACTATCCGGGAAGAGATCAACGCAGACGAAACCAATGAAAGATACTGAGGGAAACGCAGCTATCAAAGAGGAGAAACAAAGGAAACAATGGGCTGATCACCAACACCATCTGCAACTTGTCCAGAAATACCACCAGCAATGGCAGAACTACAAGTGCACACAGGCCCTCCGACAAGAGCAGAAGTCTTGAATGTCATAAAACTACTGAAATCCGGGAAAGCAGCAGGGCTAGATGGAATTCCTCCAGAAGCGCCGAAAACAGATGCAGAGACAACAGCGGACATGCTCACACCACTACTGCAGAAGGTTTACAAGAAAGGAAAGGTACCTACAGATTGATTGGAAGAAGGGCTACCTTGTCAAACTCCCGAAGAAGGGAGACCTAAGCCTTTGCAAGAACAGTCGAGGAATCATGCTCCTGTTCAACCAAAGCAAGCAAAATACTATGCCGCATCATCCTGAAGAGACTAAAGGGTGCACTGGATTCAAAACCACGACCAAAACAGGCTAGCTTCAGGAAGTACAAATCATGTGCTGATCAAATTGCAACGCTACGCTACGCACCGTCATAGAACAGAGTGTAGAATGGCAGTCAACTCTCTCTCTCTAACTCAACTTCATCGAATTTGGAAAGGCCTTCGACAGCGTCAACCGAGAAGTAATTTGGCAGTTGCTTCAACACTATGGAGTGTCACAAATCTTTATCAACAACTATGTGAGATATGATGCTACATGCCAAGTGATCCACAATGGAAAACTCAGTGACGCCTTTGAAGTGAAGACAGGAGTAAGACAGGGTTGCCAACACTCACCCATGATCTTCCTGATCGTGGTGGGCTGAATCATGCAGCAAACCGTGAGGAGTGAGAAGATGGGCATATACTGGACCAATGAAAAAAGCCTTGAAGATTTGGATTTCGCCGATCATGATTTATGTCGAATGTCTTGCCACACAAACTCCAAGATCTACAGGTGAAAAGCAACAAGTTGATGGAAGAGGCAAGGCGGCGAAGACAGGACTTCTGGTGAGTGTAAAGAAGACAGAGGTGATGAAGATACCCAACCAACAACAGCATGAACAGCGAGCACCAATTACCATCACCGGGAGAAATCTAAAGGAAGTAGTCTCTTTCACCTACCTAGGCAGCATCGTTTCAACTACAGGTGGCGACACAGACGAGGATGTCAAAACCAGGATCGAAAAAGCAATACAGGCGTTCATTAATCTGAAATCAGTGTGGAGATTTACTGCACTCAGCATAAAGTGTGGACAAGATCCGGATTTTCAAAACCAGTGTCAAGTCAGTGCTTCTATGTGACGGTTCAGAAACTTGGCGTGTTACGAAAAGCATTTGCAACGAACTACAGACATTCATCAACAACTGCCTACTCTCACTCGATATTGAAGATGGTCAGAATAATATGAATAAGCAACAAAAAAACCCACTCTGGGAACGAACCAACCAAGAACCTATCACCCAACAAATATGCAGAAGAAAGTGGAGATGAATTGGGCATACACTGAGACGGCCGATTGGGGACATTATGCGGCAGGCCCTCGAATGGAATCCAAAGGGGAAACGACAAGTTGGGCGTCCGAGGCGAGGGTGACATGGAGGAGATCATGTGATGAAGAAATGAAAGCTTATGGGCAGTCGTGGAGCTACGTTGAAAGGCTGCAGAGAAGACAGTGCAATGGAGGCGTGCTACTAAAGTCCTATGTTCCACTAGGAACCCGAGGAAAAAATAATGATAATAATAATCACATACTTCATTAGTTTTGCTAAGTGAAACTTCGACCACTAAATATTTTCATTTCATTGGTATTGAATTCGTGTAAAGAACCGCTGGTTCATATGTCATCCATTACATTACCAGTTCATTTGGTAAAGATCCATTAAACTGCTGAATAGTATATTTATTTTTAAATACCAGTTTACATAACCTCAAAAAAATTTTAGTCTGGAAACCTTATTAGATGTCACCAACACTCAAAAATTAATACACATCGAAATACCACAAACACGTCCCTTAGTAACAAACATTGTATTTGACATTTTTATAGCCTTATTTTGATAACAATCGCTTAGCCATGACCTAGTTGGCTATCTAATACCATTTACAGTAGTCCTTAACACAGTCCCATTACTCACATTTTTCACTGTGCATCCCACAAATATTGAAGACACTGGAACGAAGAATATCCTGAACATCGATATATATATATATATATATATATATATATATATGCAGATGAAATTTTTTTAATATTATATTTAGTTCTGAACTTTCTTTTACCCTCTCTTTTGGACGATATGATTTGTTGATGACTGAGAAATGTGTTACTAATTACCTCGATTCAAACAAAACCTAGGATAGCTCTATCGTATACACAGAATGTCCTTCATTTTCCCGACTTGTAGTATGTTAAACTAGGACTACTCATCAGCCTTTATTTGTGATATTAAATAGCCACACTGTTACGATATTTCTTAACCTCTAGCGATTTGCTAAATACTCATAATATATAAGACTTAGATAAACCGGATAACTAGTCAGCCGGTCAATAAAGATTTCAGCTCTGAGATTACTGCGAAACAGTCCAAATCCCCACACAATATTTTTTATCAAGGTAAGAGATATTAGGATGGCAGAGGAAGAAAAACGAAAGACAATAGCCAAGATTAGCAGGAATTTCTGAAAAGCCAACAAGGAATAAAGCAATAACGAAATCCAGTATGACGATAAAAACAAAGACAATGTGTGGATGCATCCCCGCCACTAACATCGATTCTGAGCCATATGAACTACAGTCTACAACTTCCAACTTCATTCGCCACGTGGACATTAACCGGGAACTCTACACTTTTTTACACGGTCCAAATATATAGTCAAACTGTGAATTGACACGATATTCTAGTCTAGCTGTCTACAACCACTTTATAGCGTGAACTTAATTCAGCTGGCATCAATTTATTGTTCAGACGATTACTAGACATTGTGACACATTCAAGCCATCTGAGTCGATGAAGGTTCGCAACCTGACCTCTTCTACATCTCCCCATCTCACTTTTACGCTACTGATTTGGTGGCATGACGACACAGCTTATGCTACGAAGGTAATGATGGTCAAACACCCAAAGCCTCTTTATGTCCTTTACCTTTAATCGCCACCCTTTACTCACTTAGTGGAAAAGAGCGAACTACAGTTAAGGATGCTCGACCTTTAATAGCCAATGGGACATGATGGCAGTACCATAAGCGGCAAAGAATGGTGACAGCTAGACAAGTCTTTTGTGTCTGTGGAGAGATTTCGTCAATCACTAACAGACAGAAGCTGACGCGACGTGAAGCTGTGGATCACTGGCTTAGGTAGTTAACTCAACTAGTGGGTGGCGAGTTTGAACCTCACTCCGTGTACCAAGGTTTGAGCAGATAAGTAGTATCACTAACCCCCAAGCAACAGGTGTGGCTCACTGCCTACTGCATGAACGCACATGAAGTTACTGCGTAAATGCTGGTTAGATTTCGATTCAACTCAAAAGTGAGTGAGGTAGACAATGTGCCCAACCACTTCACTCAGTTGTAAGACGGCGAGCTAATTTGGACAAGCTCTGGAGTAAAAATTCTCATTCAGGTGATGAGAAAGACACTTCAATCTTCCTAGGTAAACTAATTTATCATCAAAATATCATAAGGTTTACAAACTAAGATTGAAAATCGAAAGGAAAAATTTGATTAAGTCACACATAATAAAAATGAACCATAGCGATTCAAAAATGAGAACCAGCCACATTCTAGGTAAGGAAGGCAATTTGGCTGGAGGTCCAGAAATCTCACTGGTGAAAGTGAAACACTATAAATGAGGTAAGACTGGGTTAGAAGAATACCTACGGTGATCAGATCAACATGGGGCACAATAAATGAAGCCATTAAACTTGGGTTTAAGGCAATATGAGTTGCAGTCTATAATACTTTTGAAATCAGAGATTGAAAACTAAGTTAAATTGCTTAAAATCGATCACAATGAAGCGTTTGGATTCACTTTTCACCATCTTAGCACTTTCCCATTCACCTTACTCATTACACCTATTAATAATTTCAAAGTACAACAACCTGAACAGAACTGCAAAATAAGGTTTCTAACCATTCTATCAGGCCTAGAATATTGCTCTACCAAAGACAATATATAGGGTCAGTGTGTTGCTTATTTAAGCAATCAGCAGAAACCGTGAGAATTAAAAGAGTGAAGCATACGGTCGGTTAAACCGAGTTTTCCCAAGATTAAAACATTATTGTCCTGAAAGCAAAACACCAAACACTGTGGTTCGAAAAGTGAAAAAGTAGTGAAAATTGGCTGCTAGGTAGCAACAATTGTTACCTTTATGCATTTCACCCCTTGTTTTTCTGATACAAGCCCTTCAGGGAGCTCACGAAGAAACAACTTCAAAACACCTGCCAGAGCATATATATCAACATTTCCCAGAGAGGAAAGATCTTCTGCTGCTGATATCTGGAAAGTACTTTTGAGTGCTTCGATTAATTTAGCACTCCCATTGATACGAAAAATTCCTTGTGAACTTAGCCCATTTGCAAGCAAGTATTCGCAGATATTTTTGACAATACGAGGAACTGGTTTTACGGAATCTCGATCAAGAAGAACTTTTAGAGGCACACCGAAATTGTCTGCGGTTTGTACCAAAGTTTTTCTTTTAGATTTTGGGCTAGTGTTTATTTTGCGTACAAGTCTGTCCATTTTATTGATAGCATGAGATATTTAACAGATCTACACTCAGCTCAAGTCACCATCTTCTAGCTACCAGAAAATAGCAACAGAGGAATACAATAACCTTGTCAGCAGAAGACATTCGGTTACCGCGCCGCGGATGAGCGTACATCAGATATCCATACATAAACGCATTTCAAGGACCATATTCTAAAGTCCAACACCAACTATCCGAGTAGAAGAAACTTGTAGTTTGGAGTTCTTGCTTCTGAGTCTGGATGGTTATGTCTTTTTTTATTATACTCCTTTAGTGATAGCAGAAGTTTTTACATTTTGCCCACTTACTCATTTGAAGATAGTACAATATCCAATATTTTTTTTAACGAGCTAGTGTAAACCAATTGATTTCTTCGCGCTCGCTTCTACGTCTTGCGGGACGGTTCCAGGTTTTCGGTGGATTCCGATGCATTAGGTCTACCCACTCGACTGCTGTAGCTCTGGTTAGCCCGACAGGCAGTTGGGTGTGGGTTAAATTTGTAAAGTGTTGTTGTTAGCTTGCTTTTCCTTTAAGGACTGCAGTGTAGATGGGTTCCACAAGCGTCCTATCAGCAGACAATTGTTTGGACTGGTTGTAAAAATTTTATGGGAAATGGGTCCGGAGAGGTCAAGGGAGAGAAAGTGTAAAGAAAAATAAATAGAAAAAGGGAGGGAAAAGACGATTAGGAAAAAGGAAACTCAGTCAGCAGGAAGAGGAGTAAACATCACTGTCGGACGGATGAAAATAGAGATATTAATTCTATTTGTAGAAACTGTATCCGGAGGGCATGTCTATAGGGAAGTATAAGGTTGAGCCAGGTTTCCAGTGATAGTGATGTTACTGTAGCGTCACAAACCTCCCTAAAATCAATGGTTTAGGGTTTGACGACGTTCAACATTGATGCCGACCTTGAGAGTTTAACTGGACTCGCGAAGCTGAAGGCACCCGGTCAAGCATCCTCGCCATTTGGCACGCCTTTGTGTTACGTTGCCCTGCTCGTATTCGACTCTCTAGTCAGTTAGTTGGAACGCATCGGTATTTTGGCACAACCATCCAAATGTACTACTCCATCGGACCACTCTATCGTGTTTTTCCTTGATCTCGTATTCCCGAGAATAAACAAGTCCGAATAATTAGTGATCGGTCTTCGCTTCTGTCACGTTCGCACCACTACAATTCCCAAATTACAAAGTGTTTGATAATGAGTTGTCTGTGGTGAGTTAATAGGTTGTGTCAGCCTGGTTCATATCCCAGCTGGATGAGCGTAAGCCGGGCATCGGTGCGTGACTGTCCAACCTCTTCTTGAAGCTGTCAACAGATGGAGCAGTAGCAATCTCGGCAGGCAATGCGTTACAGTGGCCGCAAACTCGCAGAGAGAAGAAGTGTGATCGCACACGAGCTTTCACCCTTTGATGGACGATTCTCCTTAGGTTGCCACGAGGATTGCCATAGTGGCCGTTCGGTAGGATTCCGCTGTTCAGACGACTTGGGTTACCTAGCATTTCGCAGGCCATTACCAAGTCACCACGCAATCTACAGTAGCTTAGGAGTAGAGTCCTAGATCTTTCAGCCTGTCCTCATCCAGATTTCAGAACAACGGGTACGTTTTTATTATCCAGAATAATGAAAACTACAAAGAAGGAACTTTTGTAATAATGGGTTAAAAATAATTTAGTTTATATCTATGGCGTGCCGGAGAAAATACTGAATAACCCCATAGCGTTTTGAAAAGTACGTTACTGATTCTATGCAACTCACATACAATCCTCTACGGAGTAGCGAGAATTCAAATACTCACTCTACTAAACACCTGTGGCACGCATGAGCCCTCCAGTATCCAATAGTGATAATGCTAGCGTAGAAAACTGATGGTTTTTGATCTCTTGAGTCTAGTTCTTAGGGCTTGGTTCGAGTTGTTCGGTTCACCCCTGCAATGGACGAGGAAATCCCCTCTGCTTTCCTGCTTTTAGCCTCGGTGAGGTGGACGTTTTGTGGGTTGGTAAGTTGTAATTTGTGGAGCGATTGGGACGCTACGGGTTGCTGAGCAGTTTGGGGAACTGCCGTGACTCGTGTCTGTGTAGGTACCTGAAAGAGAATAGTAAGGTAGTGGTTAAAGAATGAAGAAGAGAAAAGAAAAAAAGAAAAAAATAAGGGACAGGAAAAAGGAAAGGAAGGGAAGGAGAAGAAAAGAAGTGGTGAAAAAGAGAAATGAGAACGAAGGAAAAGCATTTAGAAGTCGCGTGAATGGTAGCGTGGGTTTAGTTCCTACAGAAGAATTAGTAGGTAATGTGGGTGTATTAAGGAGGGAGGTAGTGAGTGGTAGTTAGGAGGGAGCTGGGGGCTAGTGAGGTTGGTGACTACCTGAGTACGCCCGTGGTGGACCATGCTAGGTGACATAACTGTCTAATCGTCTCTTGAATGAGTCGACTGAGGGAGCTATAACGATATGACGCGGTAAGGCTTTCCATAAAGCACATACTCTAAGGGAGAAAGATTTGGACCTGAGTATGGTGTTGGCTCTCTGGTGTGTTATCTTGATGGGGTTTCCTCGTGAAGATCGTTGGGTTGCAGACAAAACTGATTTGTTTGCGTGATCTGCCTGATGGGTGATCTTGTATGTCATAACTAGGTCACCCATCTTCCTGCGATAACCCAGGGCAAATGGGTTTAGATGTTTAAGTCTTTCAGGATACGCTCTTCACGTTAACCCCACAGCCGATTTTGTTGCAGTTCTTTGTATTTTTTGGAGGAGATTAGAGTCTCTCTTGAGTGTTGCAGGGGCCACCGTACTGAAGCCCTCTAGATGCGGCCGCATGTAGGATTTGAAAATGGTGAGGGAGAGTTCGGGAGTGAGGGCTCCAAGCTGTCTAAGCAAAAAGCGTAGGATGGCATTCGCCCTGGTTGTCACACCTTTGTAGTTGGAGCTGGTGCTCAAGACGTCTGAGAAGTTGAACCCCAAATCTTCCTCTATGGACACTGGTGATAGCACGGTTGCTCAACATGTACTGGAAGTCGGTCGTACTTGTCTCATATTTACTGATGTGCATTACTCTACACTTTGCCAGGTTGAAGCTCAGGCCATTATCCGACGACCAGAGCTCGAGTTGCTGTAAGTCCTCTTGTAGCGCTGTATAATCAGCTTTTTCGTTTACCACCCTCCAAATTTTAATGTCATCAGCGAAGAGGAGGATGGGTGAGGATATTTTATCTGGCAGATCGTTGACAAACAGGAGGAACAGAAGCGGTCCTAGGATTGCTCCTTGGGATACTCCTGGTGTTGAGGGTCTCCACTCCGGCCTTATTCTGTTTACTTTGGTGCAGAACTGCCTCCCTTCCAGGCACTCTTTGAACCAGGAGAGTAGGGGTTCACTTATACCAGCTAAAATGGTCTTGTGAAGCAGGGCCGTGGGTGGGACACTGTCAAATTCTTTGGCTAGGTCGATAAATACAACATGCACCAGTTTTCTATTATCCCAGCTTTGTGTCCAGTCGTCCCGGGCGGTTGATAAGTTGGTGGCACATGAGCGACCACTCTGAGAACTATGCGGAGCAGTATGGACAGTGTTTTCCCTATCGAGGAATTCCCAAATAGTGTCAGCTACCAGGCTTTCTAACACTTTCTACACAACATGGAGTAGAGCAATTGGCCCGTAGCTGCCAGGGCTTTTTCTGTCTCCTCCCTTGAAGATGGGTTACAAGATGGCTCTCTTCCATTCTTTTTAGGGAGTTTGCACGACTCTATTGAGTGCTCAAAGGGGCTGCAGAGGGGTTTTGTAGGCACCTAGGTGCAGTTTTTTAGAACCGATGTTTTTAGGTTGTCGCAGCCAGAGGACTGGCCTGGACGTGGCCTAGATAGTTTCTCGAATACTTTTCTCTGTGACTGAGATGTGACAGAAGTATCCGTTATTTACGACCTGGTTGGTGTCGTAACAAGTTGGTGTGGATCTTGTGTCGGTGCTAAGTTGGGCTTGGAAGTTTGATAGGAAAATCTGTCGCTACGCACTCTAATGTTGCAGCGGTTGCGAATTCTTTTGTAGTTTAAAAAGTTAGACTCTTCGCGTAGTGTACGCCACTTGAACCAAGCCTGCTTCTTGCTCTGGATAAGCCTCTATGTCCCACGCTTTAACCATGAGGTTCTCACTGATAGTCTGTGTGTTACTTCTGGTACATTGTGACTGATGGCCCCAGTGATTATTTTCTTTACCTCCAACCAGTGTTCATCCATTGTGAGATGAGCCCAGTCTACCGGCCATGATGCATTCATGAAATAGTCCCTCATGGTCTCATAGTTGGCCTTGCTGTAACAAGGGAAGGTGTTGGGCGTCTGCAGTTACAGAGCCTCCCTAGTAATCATGGAGAAGGTTATTACAGCTTTGTGACTGTGACCAAGGGGAGGTTGAATGCAAACGTCCTGAATGACAAGTTCATCGTTCGTCAGAACTTAGCCAAGGCGCGGTGCGTTTCCGTTAGGTCCCCAGCATGTGGCGTCACCCACTTTCTCTGAGGGGGCAACAGTCTTAATTATATCCTTCAGCTTCTGACTGAAGGATCTGATGCATCTTGAAGAGGATGGACGGGGTGTTGAAGTCGCCAGCAATGACTACGGAATGGTAATTTGCAGAGGAAGTCGTTAAGATTGCCTTGATGACCATTTCCTCGCGTATAGGGAAGCTGGTGGGGGACCGATATATGACTCCGAGCAGGCATTTGGTACAGTGGAGAGTGAGGTAGCCCCTTGGAGATTCTGGGAGCTGGGTTAAGGCAGTATCGCTAACCACCCTTGCCTTTAAACGGGAGTTTACGTAGAGAGCCACTCCCGCTCCCTCTCTATGCTCTCTGTCTCTGCGGAAGAGTCCCATCCCAGTAACATGCATCTCTTCGTCGGAGATGTCCGGCGAGAGCTAGGATTCGGTGGTGAATATGATGTCAGAGTGCTGATGTTCACGAAGCGTCCTCATTTCTGCTACATCCCCCCTTAGCTCCCTAACGTTGCTGCACACACATATTAGAGTGTGCCTGGTAAGAGAGGAGGGCTAGTTGTGTACTTTCGCGGGAGGAGCGCCTAATTGGTTGGGTCTAGCACTGCCAGTCCTCATAGGACCGGCATCATTCCGTTTTCTGTGTTTTGTTTTCAACTT